TAAAACTCGAGAATCGTTTTATAAAACTTGAAGAATCATTTTATAAAACTTGAAGAATCATTTTATAAAACTTGAGCATCGTTTTATTAAACTCGAGAATCATTTTATAAAACTCGAAGAATCGTTTTATAAAACTCGAGAATCGTTTTATAAAACTCGAGAATCGTTTTATAAAACTCGAGAATCATTTTATAAAACTCGAGAATCGTTTTATAAAACTCGAGAATCATTTTATAAAACTCGAGAATCGTTTTATAAAACTCGAGAATCATTTTTCAAAAATCGAAGAATCGTTTTATAAAACTCGAAGAATCGTTTTATAAAACTCGAAGAATCGTTTAATAAAACTCGAGAATCGTTTTATAAAACTCGAGAATCATTTTATAAAACTCGAGAATTGTTTTATAAAACTCGAAGATCGTTTTATAAAAACTCGAAGAATCATTTTATAAAACTCGAGAATCATTTTATAAAACTCGAGAATCGTTTTATAAAACTCGAAGATCGTTTTATAAAACTCGAGAATCATTTTATAAAACTCAAGAATCGTTTTATAAAACTCGAAGATCGTTTTATAAAAACTCGAAGAATCGTTTTATAAAACTCGAGAATCATTTTATAAAACTCGAGAATCGTTTTATAAAGCTCGAAGATCATTTTATAAAACTCGAGAATCATTTTACAAAATCACTAAAAACCGAAACCGCCGCAAAACGCGAACTAGGAGCCTCCCGACTAGTTCGCCTGCTGGCGAACTAAGCCAGCTTGGCTTAGTTCGTCAGCAGGCGAACTAGGAGCTTCCCGACTAGTTCGCCTGCTGGCGAACTAAGCCAGCTCGGCTTAATTTGCCAGCAGGCGAACTAGGAACCTGCCGACTAGTTCGCCTGCTGGCGTACTAAGCCAAGATGGCTTATTTCGCCAGCAGGCGAACTAGAGACTCCGCAAACGGCGAACTAAGAGGTGCTGACTTTGCCCCACAGGTTCTTAACGCCTAGTTCGCCATATGGCGACCTGGCCAAGCTGAACTAGCTCGCCATACGTCGAGGCGACCATTCCGAGCCTCGATCTCCCACATCCTTGATTCAAGGCATACGTCCTTCGACACGATCGTATTCCGAATCACGGTCAAAATGTCTCCCGTTTTGTCTCGATCCGTCCTATCGTTCGAATTTTTACGATAAAAACCGTTAAACTTTATTTTCTTGAAAAGAACTCGAGGAAATCGTATAAAACGGCAACGGTTAAACGAAACACCGAATATTGCCTAAACTATACGATTTATTAGAGATTTTTCGTAAAAAATCGTACAAAACGCGTTTTTAATAAAACCCCGAGTAAATCGTAGAAAACGGCAACGATTAATCGAAACATCGAACATTGCTTAGCTTTACGATTAACTCGAGAAACTTATCTAAAAAGGGCATCGTATCAGGAAACGATCTCGTCTAAAGTCGTAAAACGGATTTATCGCAAAACGGCTCGGAAAGTCATAAAACGCGATAAAAGCCACTTGCGACTTTAATTGAAGTCCAACCCGAAGATACGACGACGTTTTGGCGATTTACTCGCAGAAAGAAGATAAATGTCAAACTTAAAGATTAATGTCAAGTTTGAGGATAATTAGAAGATTTCCGCGGGAAAAAAAGGAAAGATCGAGATAAATTGAAGATTCCCATTAAACTAGAATCTGGGCGAAATGGAAAGACTAAACCGCCTAGGAAGGGAGTATATAAGCAAGAGGCATAGGTCAGAAGCAAGGGGACGAATTTCAGAGCTCTCATCTGAGACTTTTGCAATTTTTCTAGACTTAGAATTTTCCGCAATTAGAAACTTAGGCTTTTTCTCGACAAGTTCGGTTTCTATGACTGGCGCTCAATTACTAGACGAACTCGCCCAGGTAGTTCGATCTCTGGTCCAGCTCTATCAACTGAACTACGTTCGACTTGATCCCCGAAAGGGGTACGTAGGCAGCCTTTCATAAGCTTCAGTCCGAAATCAATCAAACCTTTTTCCTATCCTTTTCCGTCTTTCGTTATCGAGCTGCGACTCGACTTGATCTAGGGTTTTATGTTTGTAACTCGCTGATGGCCCCTGCGGCCAAAGACTTTGTAATTCCTTGTAATGATCGCAACGCTCTTACCCGAATCGGAAATAAGATAGACTTTCTTTATAAATTCGTTTTATTGCGTTTTTCATATTTTCCGCATTTATTTGGTTACTTGTCGTTGGCTTTCGCAGAGATCCGGTTCCTCTGGGAAATTAGGGTTTTCCTAAGTTTCCTTATTTAACGGAAATCGACAAGTGTGAATCTCGGTTCCCACACCCCATCCACAGATTTTCCATAAGTTTTCATTTGCAAGTATGGTGGCCCCCTTGGCTCATCAATGGTATGTGGGGATTAGGACACCATTACAAGAACAATTGTATGTGAAAAGCACTGGATTGCTATAATATCTTTTGCATATTGAGCCACTGACCTAGCCTTTACACTTCTGACGGTTAAGAGAAATTAGTCACGTCCCCAAGGCTATTTGAGAAAGGTGGCTAGATCTCCCAACTAGTCTAAAACTTCTGGTCTCACATTGTCCCTCTCCCCCACCTTCTTGTAGGACACAAAATCCCTTCAACCAGTAAATGAGGGATAAGCAAGACTGATTTTAACGATATTTGTCTTTCGTACCAAGCACAAGTATTTTAAGTATCCACTTGGGGTTATCTTGTCTTCATTTCCAACCAAGGATTTCTGGCCGCTCCATCATTCTCAAGTGTCTTCCTCTTAACTCTTTTTCTATTCCAAGAGTATGTCCACGACAATAGGTAACAAGCTTGGAAAAGAAAATTCTCCAATCCCATACCTTAATGGCTTCTCTGAAAACATCTACCACAACTCATACTCTCTTATTGTTACCAACTGCCGTGACAAAGCTGGTTTACAAACATCAATGAGAACATATGCTCCCCATCAGTGGTATTTGACGGATTGTAAATCCGTCCACATCTCATGCTGCTCATCTAATAACGCTTGTTTAATTTCCTCAATCCATCAGAAGTTGAAAGACTTGTTTATGCGCTTCCGCTGTGCTGCTATGAACCCAATCTGAAACATGCGTACACGTAAACCTAACTCTTTCATTATACAATATAGCAAAAAACAAAACATTAATGCAAGAGACCAACATAGTTCTCTTGCATTATAGTTAAGAAAAAAAATAGTTCTATAACAAATCATATAAAAATCACTATATTCTTCATAGTATAGTACAAGGTCATACTAAACTATACATTCTTCTCCACTAAACATATGTACCAAGAAGGTGCATGAAAAAAAAAACAGTTTACTAAACTATTTATAAGCAGTATATCAAACTTGAACTAAACATATACCAACAGTTCATACTATTACTACACTACACCTACATGTAAGTATAGGATATAAAATATGAAAAATTCATTTTCAAGAAACAAATATCATACTAAACTAGCTTCAAATTAGTCTAGTACATAGACACCCATTATATATACAACATGTACACGCAAACAGCACTATACGAAACAATTATAAATAGTAGAGAATTTGCACCCCATATACAAACTAAACCCTTAAATTAAATATCTACCATCTTTCTCTCTTATCTCTCCTCCCTCCTCTCAGTATTTTTTCCACTAAAACCATGGCAAATCCCTAATATTGAGTTTCTTTTGGTATACTGATAAAATTTGCTCTAAATAGTATATCAACCTTTCATTGAACGAGCAGTTCAAACTATACAACAACTTCGTGCAACATGAATATGATCGATCATATGAAAACCACATTTCAAAGTTTATAGTAAACTAGATTAAACATACCACATTACATTACATTGACACCCGTTAAATATACAACATGTGCACCCAAAAGGTCGACATGCTATACTATTTTATAACTAATATACCAGCCTTTCATTTAATAAATACAACACTTCATACTATATTACAACTTTGTGTTTCAATAAATAGGATATAACAAATGTAAACACATTTTTTTAACAAACAAAAGTGTAAACAAATTTCCATCAAAAAATTATGATGCAATAATATCTTCTACTTAGTCTAGTACACCGACACCCAATTATAGACTACATGTAGGTTATGACTGTTACGAGTGGAACACAAGACATGTACTATGGGATCAATATATGTGACCATTCAACTTTATAACAATACCGCAATTGAAAATAAAAAAAGATATAAAAGTTGTGGTCAGATAATTGTAGCAAATTAAACAGTAGAAGTTATCTATTTATCTTAGATTTTTAAATATAAAGTAATATATACAGTTATTAAATATAAATTATAATACTATCACTGATTTAGTCGATATGTATCCTGCAGTTACACTATTCATTATACATATCACCATTCATATATTATTACGAACAGTTTATTTTAGCGAACTACAATTGTTTTACAATTGTTCTGTAGTTATATGTTTCTCTTATATAAACCGATGTTAAACTGTTAAACTGTATTGCAGTATTTAGTACGTTCGTCTCACACCACTCGGTCCGTTGTTACAATTCAGAGCCTCAGATTGTCATGGATGAATATGATAAAAACATATAAAACACATTTTCAAGAAACAAATACCATACTAAATAAGTTCAACATAGTATACGGACGCCCATTATATATAGGGAATTAAGCTAATATATAATAGAAAAACATGCCTCATGTCCCCTTATTATAAACCAGCATTAATATGTCCGAATGGTATAAATATTTCTATAATTCCAAAACTAACCCTAGATTAATTTAATTAAACATAACTTATATTAATTAAAATAAATAAATCAATTAAAATAAAATAATAAAAGAGAATTAAAAACAAGGGAAAGGGAACAAAGACCCTTTATGTTTCCCATAGCCCTAATTTAGCGATTTCCCCTTTTGTCTTTCTCTCTCTCTCGACAAGAACACAATGGAGATCATCATCATTAGCTTGCTTTGTTGCTATTGGTATGAGACAGAGATCCAAATGTTTGATTGTGCTTTTGTATATTAAATTGATCATTTACTTCCTTTGTTAACTTTTTGAAGGAGTTGGAACAACAATTGGAGCAGGAGTGCTCTTGATGTATCCTTCTTCATCGCTGGTGTCGCAGCTGCTCTCTCCGCTTGTTGCTATGCTGAGCTTGCTTCTCGATGTCCATCTTCTGGGAGTGCTTATCATTATGATTACATTTGTCTTGGAGAAGGGTATGGACTAGATAGGATTCTAATGTCAGAAAATTTTACTGAAACATACCTGAGATTCTAGATGTTCTTATTGCATAGGATTGCTTGCTTGGTTGGTTGGGAACTGGTGTTGGATTATACGATTTGTGGATCAGCCATTGCACGTGGCATATCTCCAAATCTGGTAATTCCCTTTGAGTTATATGTATACTTGAATTTGATTCTGACGAGTGTTCTTGTTCTAGGCATTTTTTTGGAGAGTCAGACTGTTCTTAGCTCAGCAAACCATACCCCGACTTGGTATTGTGGTTGATCCATGTGCAGCACTGTTGATTATTATTGTTACAATACTACTATGCTTTGGGATAAAAGAGGTACTTACATTTCAAACATTCATTTCAGGATTGTTAGATCGTTTTTACAGAGTATTGAGGCCAGTTTATTTATTTTTTTGTCTTGACAGAGCTCATTAGTACAAGAAATTGTAGCATCAGCGAATGTTTGCACATTGGTTTTCATCATAGTAGTTGGTGAATATTTAGCTTTCAAGACTGGCTGGGTTGGATATGATCTTCGTGATGGGTAATTTAACCTTTGATTTTCTTCTATTGAGGCTAAGTTATGTGTCATATAATTATTTTAAAGGTCAACGTCTTTACAAGTATTTTCCTTTTGGATTAAATGGGATTCTCGCTGGATCTGCTGTAGTGTTCTTCTCATATATAAATTGGATTTGATACTGTAACAAGCACAACTGATGAGGTATATAAATTTGTTTTTTCTCCTCTAATGACTATATTTTAAGAATCTTTATTGAAATAAGTAGTTATAGAAGAGGATGTTTAGTCCTAGTATTGTGATCTCTTTATTTCATAATTCTGCCAATTTTCTCTGTTAAACTCTTAAACGTTTGGTAATTGCCACAACAGGTTAAAAATCCTCAAAGGGATCTTCCGTTGGGGATTGGGATTGCATTACTGATATGCTGCATTTTATATATGCTTTTATCAGTAGTTATTGTTGGATTGATCCCTTACTATACTTTGGATCCTGATACTCCTATCTCTGTATTTGGAGACAGTGGGATGCAATGGGCAGCGTAAGTATGATACATCTTTTTGAGACTGAAACAGCTCTATTTCATGAGAGTGAACATAATATAAAACTACTTTCATATATGTTTCAGGTACATCTTAACTACTGGGGCAACAACTGCTCTGTGTGCAAGTTTGTTGGGTTCACTTCTGGCTCAGGTACTAACCAATTCTTATTGTTTTGAAAAGCTCAACTTCAATTTTTCTTTTGTTACTGATATCTCTAGCTATATGCTAGTCTACGTGTGGGTCATGGCTTTTGACACTGTTTTGGGTTTTTCTTTATCAGCCACGAATCTTCATGGCAATGGCTAGGGATGGACTGTTGCCAGGTTTCTTTCCAGATGAAATCAGCCTACTGTTTCTTTGCAGATGAAATCAGCCTACTGTTGCTTTGTGTTATGTTCTTACGCTCTCTTAACATGCTTTTGTGGTTTTTAGAGTTTTGTTCTTACAATGAATATGTCATTTTTCTGGTTCTTTCTGTTCTATTCTGTTCTTACTATTTACAAAACTGAAAACATCATTGTAAAGAAAATCGAAAACATGATTGTAATGCATCAGAGTGACACTGAAAACAAATCTTCAAAGATTTTAGAACCAAAAATCCTATGAAACTGATAGCAATGCATAACAGCGAAGCTGAAAACAGACTTGTAATTAGAGTTGATGGATATTGTCCAACAAAGGAATGACTGGATATTCTCTTGGTGAACGCAAATCAGAATTGATGGATTCAGCAGAGTTGGTTGCCCTTATGTCATATATGTATCCAAGATATTTACATCGATCCCTTTTCATCAGCGGAAAACACCCATTTCGTTGTAGCACTTGATTCCCATACACCACAAGTGGTATAGATATGCATCATACAAGAAAATTTGTGAAAATCAAAAGAAAAACAATGGAGACTAGGTTGGATGAATAAGCTAGGCTTTTGGAGTCGACACAGGAGAGATTTTTTGACGTAAGAAATTGGTTCCAATGTTCAAGGAAAGTGCACTTATTAACAAATAATTTTAGAATATTTTCCCAAATAATTTCCAAAATTTTTGAATTTGTTTTATCTTATCCGTAGAAGGTACCTACTACAGACAGTAGAAATACTAACGTGTCACTATAAGCAAATTCTAATATTAGTAGACGTTTGAGTTATGTGTAGATTACGTATTCTGAGATTTGTAGAAGTGGTTTAAAACGTAGAACTCACATTCAGTTATTTTGTAGAATTCTATATAAACGTAGAATATAGATTCTAGAAGATGTAGAGTTGTATATAAACGTAGAATATAGGTTCTAAAAAATGTAGAGTTTACTATTTAATGTGGAATATGAGTTCTACTGTGCAATTTTTTGTAGAATATGAATTCTACTCTCCGTAAAACATATTTAAAAAATTTAATTTATCAAGTTTAAAAAAAAAAAATATCAGTTTGTGTATATAGGCATTTCATCACTTCTTTGTATTTTTAAATATTTTTTCGAGTCATATAACTATTTATTTCATTAATTTTTATAAATGAAAAGGGTAAAAAGGAGAAAAAATGAACAAAAAATATTTTATACTAAAGGGACATGAAGTCCGTTTTTCTGTTCTATATTAATATAATTCCCTTATATATACAATATGAGTGCACAAATATTAAATATATATACTATACTATTTTATAGATCGTATATCAACCTTGCACCGAACATATATGGACAATCCATTCTATATTTCAGTTTTGTGCTCGTATAAATAGGATATAACAGATGAAAATACTTTCAATGAAACAAATACTAATAACCAGTAGCATCTACTTAGTCTACTACACATGCACCCAATTATAGGCTATGTTTTGTGTACCATAACATTACTTCTAGAACACAATCGTAAGTGTGCCCTTGACCATCAGCACATACTAGATTCTAACACGACGACTCATATTTTCGGCAAAAGATTTACATAATAATATGCCATGGATTTTACCTATTTCTAACCATGGTATATAAGTTTTTAATTATCTTATTATTATGTTTTAGAGTCTATATAGCATATTTATAAGATCAGGAGTGATTTTGAAGAAAGTGATGATTTTGGGGTCTTTTTTGGAGACAAGGGGAAATTCACCCGAGCTGACCATCGAGTAGGCCGAGAGGTCGACACTAAGAGATCATGATCGATTGATGCACACCTCGTGACATTGATCGATGGATGTAAAACACAGAGACACGATTTTGGCTTAGATTGTTTGGAGCCCAAGTCTTCACCAAATTACCATATTACCCCTGGCGAGTTTTAACGTAAGTATGTAGTTTTGCCATTGTGTTCTCGGCAAAGAGAGCTTTTTGTTATTCTTATTTTCAATACCTAAAACAGTTAGAGAGAGTTTGGGAGAGAAGATTTCAAGACTTCTACAAGCTTGTGTTTGAAACTCCATTGATTTATCTATACAGTTTTATTATCTCTTTATTGTCATGATTTGCTTTGCTATGTCTGACTAATTATATTGTTAGATTTAGGGTTCAAATAGGTTATGAGAGATTAGCCTAAATATATAATTGTTAAAGTGTGGTATTCATCAATAGGATTGGTCTTAATGCTTGTGTTCTAGAGTAGCTAGCTAGAACCCTAATGACTGAATGATTAAAATTGATCCTGATTGAACTACGATTGCAAGAAACATGTGACAGCTGATCTTGGAACTTATTGCGCGTTATTCAACCCGCGCATAAATCTTGCATCTAGAAGCCGATCGATCGATGTTCATATCGAATCGTCGATCGACGTTCATATTGAATCGTCGATCGACATTCATATCGAATTGTCGATCGATGTTTGCAAAATGTGTATCGATCGATACTCCTATAGAGTCATCGATCGACACTTTCTACTGATAAAAAATTGCGACAGCTGAGACAGTAGATCTAGTCATTAGACGGTCTAAAACGTGACATGCTGATAGATGGTACCCTAGTTGAGGTCTAACATATCTTCCAACTTAACCACTATCTTTATAATCCTGATTACCTAAATAGATACCCTAAGTCTTGCTACCTTCCTAATATTGTTACAACCCACTTCAAACTAACTTAACAACTACCATTTTCACAACTATCTTTTAATTTAAACACTTTTAACCTAGCTTAAACCCTGATTATATCTATTGCATGTGTACCCTAACTCCTTGTAAATTCAATACCTAATTAATACAATTAAACTTCTTATTTGATAGAGTAAAAATTCACTCTTTAGGATAATTTGAGTGACTGAATTAGACACACATCACTTAACCATAAGAACAACTAAACTGTCAACTCAAATTAATTGTACAGCTGGCACAATATACAAACTAGATAATTAGCTCTATCTAGGGATCCAAAAAAACGTACTATGAACCACTTCGCTCAATCAAGCAATTCAAAGAGCAACACTTGAGACCGGATTCTTAGATCAAATCAATAAAAAGGAAAAAGAGAAACTCTGTATTTTATTAAAGAGTTAAACGTCAAAAGGAATGAACAAGAAACAATACCAAAACTTAAATATAATCCGTCTATGTCACAAACCCACTTAGAGAAAAACCTTAATATGGATAGAGTTTGATATTCATGAAAAATCCATCTAAATAAAGTCCACATAACATTAACTAAACACCTAAAAAAACTAGTTTGTAGTCTTAGTTTGTGGCGGAAGTTAGGCCAAATACCATGCTGCATCAGTCATCCCATGTAACAGATCTTCGTCCTCAAATCTGAATGCACTTGTTAATGGTTTAAGCTTGGTATTATTCTTTTTTCTCCTCTTCCCTTGATAAAACATTTCAACCACAAGACATGATTTTTCCACCAATAAATTTCTTCAGATATCATAAAAATTGTTTCTCCCCTTCAATCATATTGGTCATCCAATTATGAAAAACTATACACATGTACTCCTTGCGATAATTCTGATAATCTGAAGCTCACTTTTTTGGGTCTAAAACTACTTGATTAATAGACAGAGTTTTACACTCACCTAGAGGGGGAGGATACAGCGAAGGCGAGGACTGATTTTGCCACCAAATCAGCCTCAAACTTTTCTAGCCGACGTACATAACAAAAGGAAACAGAACGAAACACATGAATAAAGTGATAGATGTCGAACAATATCCAAAAAGAGCTGATCTTGAGTCTTTAGTCTTCAACATAGAGACATGGCCGGCTCTGAAAAATTGGGGGCCTATGAACTATATATAAAAATATAATAAAAATAAATTTATATGGTAGTGAGAAAAAATAATGAAAGTGAAACAATGATTGATGTTAGGTGATCTTTAGAAGGAAAACAAATATTTTTTGAGGAAAAAACTTAGCATCAAGAAAAAAACATTAGTAAAAATTATTAATTTCATAGAATCTTGTTTAAGATTTTATTGGTTGATTGTGTTATTTGACCCAATCAATTAAATATTGAGAATTCGGCCAAAAAAACACAAACTTTGCACGAATTGCCAAAAACACATGAACTTTTGGGCTGACCAAAAAAGCACAAAAATTTCATTGACTTTAGAATTAATTAATAATGTTGTTTATTGTTGACGTTAATTGAAACGACGTCGTTTTACATGATTTGAAAATAAAAACAAGTAGACTATCGGATTCAAACTCGGGTTGTTTGGGTCCAACGAACCGGTATTTTACCACTGGACTAGCGGTACTTTCAATGGACCTACGAATGCATTTAATTTTATATTGTACTGATTGATTATAAAAAATTCTCTAGTAATTTTTAAAAAATCTTTAAAATTCCAAAAAATTGAAGAAATAAAGAAAATATTATATATAAAATTAACTTTTTAAAAAATTAATTTTGAAAGTAAAATTTAAAATAAAATTTTATTTTTTATTTAAAAAAATCAAAAGTCTTCCAAAATTTTAAATTTTATTAAAACAAATTGCTAAAAATTGAAATTAATTATACACACAAAAAGATACCCACATATTAAAATTAAATTAAAATGATTAAAATAAATAATTATACCCATTATGAGTTTGATTTTAATTTTAGCTTATAATTGTAACTTAATGTTTTGCATTTTATTTGTATTTTTAACTTTTTGCAATTTTTAAAAAATGAAAATTGTGGTAGATTTTTGATTTTTTAGAAAAAATAAAAATTTATTTTAATTTAATTTCAAACTTAATTTTATAAAAAAAAATTATTTTCCAATTTTTTTGGAATTTTAAAGATTTTTTTAAGTTTTTAAAGTTTTTTATATCGAATCAGTACTAAATAAAATTAAATGTGTTTGTAATTCTATTTAAATTGACATTATCCTAGTGGTATAATACCTTGCCATTTGTTCCAAACAATCCGAGTTCGAATCCGGGGATTTACATGTTTTTATTTTC